AATTTTACAAACTGGTCAGTGCCAAATAAATTAAAAACTCAAAATCTACATAACGGTTACATCTGAAGTCACACAGATCTGAATTCCGGCTCTGCTGCTTATAGGTGATGCCCTCAACAAGTTGGTCTGACATGAACGGAGGGCTGCTAGCCTCCTCAGAGGATAGTTGTGAGGCTTGAGGAGGATGCAAAGTCTGCAGGAAGTCCCCAGGAAATGGTAACTTATTTTTGTTATTGCAGCCCAGTACACAAGCACTCCACCCTCACCTTTACCACTTACTAGCTGTGTGACCTTAGACAAATCACTTAATCTTTTTCAGACTTAGTTACCACCTTTGCAAAGTGGGGGATAAAAATAATACCACTGTGTCTCGGGGTTGTTGAGAAATTAAAAGATACAAGTATGCAAAAATTATCTTAAACCTTATAGACCACCATGAAGGTGTTGATTACTGTCACATATTAGAAAATGTAAGGTGTGGCGGTGTGGGATAGGTGTTGGGTGGTTAACTAAGAGGTTGATGGGTTAACCAGTTGCTCCCTGAAAACGAGGCTGTCTGGAGACCATTGTGGGGTCGCTATGAGTGGAACTGATTTGACGGCAGGAAATGTTTTTTTATTTCTGGTTGCTTTTCTGTTACCTGAAATAAAAAACAAACCAGGGGTGGGTAAAAGGGAGCTGATGTCAAGGAGTTCAAGAAGGAAAAGAATGAAACTGATTGTGATCACAACTGTACAATACTGCTCGATGTGATTGAACTAGAGAGCCATGAAACCTGTATTAACTCCCAATAAAATGGTTTTGAAAAAAAAAGCCAAACAAACAAAATCCTGACAGGCAATAAAAGTAATCTGCCAGGTAACTTTGACTAATAGGTTGGTTTTAGGCTGATGTAGGCTACTGAGCTTACACATTATTAAAATAGGATATTGATCTCTTACATCTCATCTCATGTACTTTGGACTTGTAGTCAGGAGAGACAGTCCCTGGACAAGGACATCATGCTCGGTAAAGGAGAGGGCCAGCAACAAAGGGGAAGGCCCTCGACCAGATGGAAGGACACAGTGGCTGCAGCAGTGGGCTCAGACATAAGAGCAATGGTGAGGAAGCACAGTGCAGGCCTGGGCGGTGTTGCCCTCTTTATGCACGGTAGAACTAGTGCTTATCAGTCGGAGCCACCTCCCTCGCGGGCACAACAGCATCTCTGACGTCACTTGAGGCAGGCTAACCTGTCATCAGGAAGACTGCTTACAGATGGATGATGAAGCACTTTTCTAATCCTTTGCTACTCTCAAAACATGGTATTGGATGATAGCAAAGCATTCTGAAATCACCCCCATCTTCCTAGTAAGCATTATTGTAGTAGCACTGTTTATTGTTTTAAATCTTCCGACTTTGTCTGACCAGAAGAGATGTTCTACACTCTCAAGACAGCTGGCCTCCACGCTGCCCTGGGGAGCAGAGACGGGCCCTGAGAGCCTTGCAGATTCTCATCACATCCCCTCCTTCCTAAGGTCACGTCTGCCAGCCCATGAAACACCCATTTATATGTGTTTGCAAGAATAAAGGACATTCTGAGACAGTAGTGCCTATTCTTTAGGGCTCTTATTACGTAGCTCTACAAGGATCCCTTGACGACTTGTGTAGGCCACCCAGAACCTTCTGAGAGGCACAGGCTGATGAATGCAATACTTCATTGCTCCTAGAAGATTCACTCCAGGGCCACTGGCGAATGAACTTTTCTTCCACGAGCACAAATCTGTTTCCGAGGGAGACGTCGGACAGGGCAAAATATGACAAAATAATAATTTATAAATTATCAAGGGCTCGTGAGGGAGTGGGGAGCGGGGAGGGAGGGGGAAAATGAGGACCTAATGCCAGGGCTTAAGTGGAGAGGAAATGTTCTGAGAATGACGAGGGCAATGAATGTACAAATGCGCTTTACACAATTGATGTATGGATTGTGATAAGAGTTGTATGAGCCCTGTATTAGTTTAGGTACTTTGGAGAAACAAATCCACAGCGACTCATGTATGAGAGAGTTTTATGTAAAGAAAATGTGCATCACGAAAACATCTCAACCCAATGCTGCCCAAGCCCACAAGTCCAACATGAACCCATTTACCCAACACCAGTCCACAAAGTCCTCCACCTCACAAAACAGAGGCAATGATGCCGACTGCAGGAGGAAAGCTGAGTCAGTGAACGAACAAACATCTCAGCACTCGCAGGGGTTTCCACACGGCTGCTCCAGCACCCAGGGCTGCATCGAGATAGGTCCACGTAGCTTCTCCTTGGGGATGTCTTGTAGGAAGTCAATCTTGCAAGCTGAAGCAGGGAACCGCTAAGGCAGCTGCACCCGATACAACCATCACAAAACAAGAGACCCGAGAACTAGAAAGGCGAGGCTTCACCACCCATTTATCCCTCCGCCTTTCAACCAGCACCACATGTGATTATCGGCCAGGCTGGCACAATTAACTAACTCAAGCCCCTAATAAAATGATTTAAAAAAAAAAAAAAACAAATGAGGAAAATCATTACATTGAGAAAAGGGCCAGTTTGCGCAGGCCAGTCAGGAAATACAAAAGTGGAAATTCTCAGCAACAGCTTACTCGTACAGCATCCCAGTCTCTGTGAGCATTAGCCAGCTGGGCTATTTTTGTTTCCTTCTTCTCGAAGACTTCAGTCCATGCGGTCTTATTTACCATCAAGCACGTCATCTGAAAAGGTGTGGACGGACAGACAGACTGAGAGTGGACTAACAAGGATTTGGAGGAAAGACCAGTCCCGGTCCCCAAGGAAATCATGAGGCCTTTAGATAAGCCTCATAATTGAGCCAAGACACAAGGTGAAAGGGGCCCTAAGACCCCTGGTCTGGGACAAAGGGAGAACCTGCCGAGTTTGGTTGAAAGAATAAAAACTGCACATTGACAAGAGTGTTGCTTTCACATAGACACTGTACAAAGTGTCTTCACACTCACATTTAGAAAACAAGCGGGAGCACGCTCACCACTGCACTGATTTGCAGTCCCTGAACGTTCTTCAAGACAGACTGTTTCAAGAGATGCAAACAAGCCAGGATTAGGACTGAACCTTTTCTTGACTGTATCCTTGCCTTTGTCTTTCCCAGTAGCCTGTATCCCTGGGACACTCCAGCTAAGGCCTGTGGGATGGCTTCAGGGAGGTGGGCAGGAGGGAGGGAGAAGTGGTTACAGTGACTAAATGGGCCTGGGATGCAGGCTTGATCCCTGGGAGTTCCCGCTTCTGGTAAATGATACACATGCAAATTTTGAGGTTAGTAAAAATTGCACCACTCCCCTTCGCCTTCAAAAAACACGCAAACCAACCAACCAACTAACCAATCATCAAATTTTATCCCCCCATCAGTAAATAAGTTAAAAAGATGTAGACATATGCCAACTTGCGGTGTCCACAGATGCAAGTGAAAGATGGCTTTTCTTCCTGCCCGAGTCCCATCTTGCTACCCATCTGCTTGAGAAAGACGGAAAGAAGGGCCCTGCCATTTGAAGCCATCAGGTGCACAGTTGGATCTGGTTCCTTGCGGATCGGGAATTCTGTCCTCACGTTGGCTCACAGGGAGGGACCTTGTGTCACATCCGCCTGCCTTTCCAAAGAGATTCCAGGCCCGGGCCATTCTGCGAAGTTTAGCAAGATTGGGTTTAACCTGTGGAAGGAAACTGAATTCATCCACTGGGCAATATAACTGGTCAAGTAATACGTGGGTTTTCCTCACTAACAGATGACGGTTTCTATCTAGTTAAAGCTAGAATGGCAGGTCTCAGAAACGTCTACAGGTTTCCTCAGGGTGAGTGAGGACAAGAACTGGAAGTCTAGACTTCCATCTCTTCCCCATTGAAGATGAAACTTGTTTCCTTTTTCTTCACGTGAAACAAAAAGTTTATGATGGAGCAAAACCAAGAGTCAGCAAGACTAATCCCTGAAAACGCCAAGCACGAAAACACTTAATCGCCTTTAGCGAGAAAGGCGTTTGAAAAGCGGCAGGACGAGCGTTTACATTATACTTTCATGCTCGGCTTCATTTACAGTGATAACGAATCGAAGCCATTCTGTGCCCTTCTGCACTACCCACACCATTGTTCCCGTCCCCCTAGCAGCAGGGCCAAACAACGGGAGGTTCCCGATCCCCAACCATAACTCTCGCCATCCTTGGAGCTGGGGAGTGACGGTGACAGGTCACCATTCTAGCAAGAACCATTAAGCACCGTGCTGTTCGGGCTTTCTTTTGCCAATGGTGAGTCTGCTGGGTTTCTAAGTTTCTGTCGTCCCGGGAGAAACTTTTGCATCTTCTCCAACCTTGAGCCAGGAGGCAGCAGATATACAGGGCACATAAGTCTATGTATGTGTGAAGATAACACAAAATGGGAGAGATGCCAATGCATGTTTTTTTCATATTTGGAAAAAGGTTTAAGACAGGTTTCATCTGGATGAGAAGTTAAGATAAACTTTGCTCCCTCCTCCTGCTCCTGTTCATCATTAAAATACCTGCTTTTCCTGTTCCAAATGGTCTATGTCAGCTAATGGCAGCATGGATGGTCTCCCATGAGCACACTGGAACGGCAGCTGGCAGCAGGACAGAGCCTCAATCAGGCGGCGGCTCTCCTCAGGGCTCAGGCCATCATTAAACTTAATGGCCCCTAAACGAAAGGGAGAGACCAGTGCTGACCCTGGGTCAGAGCCAAGTGTGGAAAAAGTGACGTGCTTCTTAGGGTTCTTTACTGCAGCTTGAGTGCTGCTTGAAACGGGTACTTGGGGCCCACGAGGAAACTAAGCCTGTAGGGCTGACTCTGGTGGTCATCTGCTCAGTCTGCAGGTGTTTACTATGGTCCAAACGCTGAATGACACACGATCCCCACCCTCACTGAGCTTACAATCTGGTGTGTGAGACTAACAGTGGAGGAATACATGTAAATGAGAATGGAGGAACAGTGGAGGAATACGTGTAAGTGAGACATGTAAGGACTACAGACCACAGAGTATGAAAGGCAGCATAATAGGAAGACCCGGCGAGTCTCCCTTAGCCAAGTGGTAGTTCAGCTGAGACCTGAGGCTGGGGCAGACTGAAGAAGGAGCCAAAGGCAAGTGCAGAGGCGGAGGCTGACGGGGACAGCACACAGAAGGAACAAGGCTGAGGCAACAGGGCTTGGAGGTAAACAGCAAGGTGGAGAGTGGTGTGAGAGAGCCAGGCAATGCCCAGAAGGAGTGGCACGTGTATCCTAAGAGCAGTGACTAGTCACTGAAGAGTTTTGGGCAGAGGAATGCCATGGCCAGAGGGATGTTGCAGAAAAGTTCCTTGGGTGCTGAGGTGAGAGTGAATTGGCGGAGAGTCAGAGTGGATGTGGGAAGAAGAGAACTGTGACAAGAGCAAGGGATGTGGTGGCGACAGATTGAGTTGGTCAGAGTTAGGATATATTTTGAAGGCAGAGCTTAGAAAACGGGGGGATGGAATAAATTTGAAGAGTAATGACTGGATACGGGACATAGGAGCGTAGGCTGTTTGCAGGAGACAGACTGAGAATTGCAGGGACGGGCAGTATTCCTAAGCAGGAAAAGACAGGAAGTAAGAGCAGGGAGGCTGACGGAGGGGAGAGAATAGAGGCATGGTGCCAGGGGATTGTTCAAATGACAGTTGCAGGAGGTTCTGTCTGTAACTGGCCCTACAGTAAGTTCCTCCCAAAAAGTTTCTGTATTTTACCATTTTTACGCCACCATGATGTCTGTGCTAAATGTACATGTTCTGATGTAACCCCCTCGTCTTCTGTGCCAACCCACCACTAATTTCTCGATAGGCTTCACTGCTCTTCCCCTTCTGCACATGCGCTTTCCTCTCCTGGAGGGCTTTCCGGTCCAGGCTAAGAGCCCCCTGTCCCTCGGCTCATACAAAACCTGACTTCGCCACTCCTAAGTCAGTTAGCAACACTGTGGTCAGCTCTGTATGTGGGTGGGGCAGAAGGCCTAGCTCACGGCCAAGACCAAGCTATTCTATTACATGTGGGGCAGGAGTCGGCTTGACAGCAATGGGCTGATTGCAGTTTGTTTTGTAAAGGTAAGTAAAAGTGAAAAAAAAATTTAGTGTGTTTAGTCCCTTGATCTACATTTTAAGTGACTGGTAAGTAGCCTCTGCTGCTTACCTGGGCACAGCAAGGGTCTTACCATGGCAGGCCTGGGATGCCAACACCTTCTGGACTGTCAGCGGCAGGGTCCCTTGGATGCTCCCTGTCGTCTGAAGTAGCTAAGGTTTAAACACAGTCTTTGTTAATCAGCTCAGGAAATGAGACGACAGTCTTTTACGTGTGGAACCTCTGTGAACATCCCCCAAATAAGAGGCAAACTTACCTCCATTTGTTCTCGAATAAATTCCTACAAAGCAAAAAAGGAACACGGGCATTAAACGACGCTGTGTTGTTACTTGTCTTTCAATAGTTTACAAAATAGCCTAATTTTCTCATTTAAAACAGCATCTCCCAAAGGGGGTGAAACTGCATCCTGGGGGTGCTGGACCAGTCCAGGAGGGCTGTAAAAGCAGATACGTACACTCTCTCCGGCACTGTGGCGATAGTACAAAAGTTATTAATTGCCAGGGAGAGGCTGAGTCATTTGTTTTTAAAAGGGGGGCGGTTGGCCAAATATGTTTGAGAACCTCTGCGCTGAAGTGTGCCTCCTGAGTGTGTCTCTGGGGGAACGTAAACCACCAGCCTGTCAGTCAGCACCTCAGCCTGTTGGTGGAGCCCTGGTGACACAAGGAGTTACATGTGGCACCCTAACCAAGGTCACCAGCTTGAGTTAGTCTCAGAAGCCCTACAGAGCGGTTCTGTTCTGTCCTGTAGGCTTGCTAGATGAGTCGGAGTCAGTTCAATGGCAATGGGGGTTTAGGGACTGCTAATAGATTAACAAGGAGTTGGAATTGACTTATTAATTAGTGCAAAGTAAAAGCCCTGGTGGTGTAGTGGGTTACCCACTGGGCTAACCATAAGGTCAGCAGTTCAAAACCACCAGCAACACCTTAGGAGAAAGATGAGGCTTTCTACAGCTGTTAAAGAACCCACGAGGCAGGTCTGCTCTGTTCTACAGGACTGCTATGAGTCAGAATTGACTGGATAGTATAAGAATTCATGTAAAATGCACAAGGTGTGATAAAGCCCACAGAACGTAAAGGCTTGTTTTCCAACAAGAAGCCATCTAAAGGAGATTAAGTTGACTGTGTCTCTGTAGAAGCACACCAGTCTGTGTGATCCAAGGATTGCAAATCATGAAATCCAAATTTAAAGGCGGGATGGTATCAGAACTTGAACTGTGAACACAGAAGCCAGTTTTCAGAAGGCTTCAGATGACAATGGAAGCCCCAAATCCATGTGCAGAGTCCCCACATAGATTAACCCCCAGTGAATCCCCTCTGACCATAGTCTAGGGATATAAATAACCTTTCTATCACACAGAGCATTGTCAAGTCAATTGTGGCAGATGTAGTTAGTCTAAAATGTAGTACCTTATCATTTGATCTCTTTTGAAGTCTGAAATGTAATATCATTTGATCTCTTTTGACCCATTTTAATTTATAGTTTCAGTTTTTTAAATTTTATTTTTTCGATGGAGGTTTTCCCATGTTTTGTCTAGTGGGTTTTCTGGTTTGTTTGCTTCCTGTCTGTGTTTTCTATGATTTTCTGTTTATGAAATCCAAGATAGGTAGATCTATAGAGACAGTTATTGGTTTGATGCATGTATAGGGGCGTGGCAGGGGAGGATGGTGGAAATGGGGAGCTAGCAACAGTGAGGACCAGAAGAAAATGTTCTGAAATTGATTGTGGCGATGATTCCACAAATCTTCCTGATAGGACTGAACGATTAAGTTGTACGATATGTGATATATATATATATGCCAATAAAACTATTAAAAACCAGAGAGCTATGTGAGTTTTGTGTGAGCTACTGTGGTTCACAAAAGTGAACCCTAATAAGTTCAGGGCGATGTGTCAACATTGGTCCATCAATTGTAAGAAATGTGCCACAGGAATGCAGTTGTTGGTAACGGGCAGCTGTGTGCAGTGGGGAGAGGCGGAATAGGAACTTGCTGTACTTTTGTGTAAACATAAACGGTTCCAAAAAAAAAGTCTTATTTAAAAAAACAAAAACTCTTGAGGTAGAGAGATCCAGCAATATAGCACTCAAGTATAAATAACTTATTTGTTTGAAGGTACTTTGAATATGGAATTCCAAGACAATATCAGCTCTTACTGAATATAAAATATATTTAGTTTCTGGGTCCTTTTCCAGAAACAGCACATGGACTAATTAATTCGGTCATGTAACTGTAAGAGTAGCCTTTCTGATCCTACTGATTTTACATATCAGGGAGGCTTCTCACTAAGAGGCCCTTGTCTCTTTATAGCTATGACCTCAGCCAGAATAAGTAATATCAGACACAAAATGAGGATGAATACACAACAGCCATCAACAAACTGGGCACTCATATAACACTTGTCTAAATACCATAAACATTAGTAAACAGCCACTTCAGTTCCCACAACTAAAGTGGGACAACTCCTTTCAGGCCAAAATGCTTCTTTCTGATGTACTTTGTTGAGAAGTTATCCCACCCGAGGCTTGTCTCTGCCCCTGGGGCATACTTTTTAATAGTTCTATCCCTGCAGATGCTAATCTTTATAAATTTCAAAGAAAAATTTTGATATAGCATATTTAACAATTTCTTTATAAGAAAACCCAGAATATTGGTCCCTTCCACTGCAAAGAAAAGGGTGAAGAAAATCACAGTTAATTTGGAAACGACTAATTGGTCCAACAGACTGCTAGGTCATGCAGATCTTAGCCTTCCAACCCGGAGACCAGAAGGATCAGCTGGTGCCTGGCTAGCATGGCTGATCCCGCTGAGAGGGAACATAATAGAAGGTCCTGGACAGAGTGGGTGCAAAACGCAAAAGGGCTTACTGATTTGATAAAGACTAGTGGAAGCACCAAGACTACGGCCCTTCATCACTCTTCAAGTCTGAAAATGAACACTCTCCTCCCATGCGAACAGAAACCCTGGTGGCCTAGTGGGTTCTTCACTGGGCTGCTAACCTCCAGGCCAGCAGTTCTAAACCACCAACCACTCTGGGAGAGAGAGAATTCTTGCTACTCCTGGAAAGAGTTACAATCTGGGAACCCCAGGCTATAAGGTCATTACATGTGCTGGTTAGGGGTTATGTCAACTAGACATTCCAGGGTAAGGGTAGGGTGGAGCCCAACCGGTCAGTTGGTTCACAGCCTGATGACACCTTCTTGGGTGTGGCCTTTTATTTAAGAGGGAAAGACTGCGAGCAGAGTCGATTCTCTTTGACCCTTAGCTTTCTGCTGGAGCGGAATCTCCCGCCTGGTTCTTCAATTTCCTGTTGAGTCACCTGCCAATCCCAGGAGTTAACAGTAGATTATAGAGGGTGGAGTCATTGGCCAACTTTGTATTTTTATTTTGATTACCTCAGCATCCACCGGCCTGTGCCCCCCATTAGCTCTACTTCATCATCCCACTTCCTGTTCATCAGCTTTCAAGAGTCAGAAGAAGAATCACACCGGACTTACCTATTTCTACAACTGTGTAACCATTTCTTGGTATAAAATCCTTTCCATATATAACACCTACAAACGTCAACTGGATGGCAGTGAGTATAAGGTGAGCAACAACACCTGGGAGGTTTTCACCCATTACAACAGTCAACCAGACACGACCAAAAGGGCAGTGTTTGTCCAGGAAGGAAACTCTGAAGGCAAAGAGGAATGAGAACTGTCAACACGACACGGGGCCTCTCAAAGCAAAGCACCTGTGGATTGTTGGGCGGAAAAGGACCTGCTCTAAACTAACACCTACATCATAAAGTCTAAACAACAACAAAAACCCCATATCATTGAACTATATGATCTGGGAATTATATATGCCAATAAAACTTTTTTAAAAGACACAGAATTTCTTTATTCCTGGAAATGGCTATGTATAAATCAGTTGCCTATGATTTTACATGGTAGACTTTTTTTTTTTCAAATACTTATATTGGGGGCTCTTACATCTCTTACCACAATCCATACATTCATCCAGTGTGTCAAGCATTTGCCCACATGCTGCCATCATCATTTTCAAAGCATTTTCTTCCCACTTGAGCCCGATATCAGCTCCCCCTGTCTTCCTCCTCCCTCCCCCGCCAGCCCTCCCTAATGAACCCTTGATAAGTTATAGATTATTTCCATCTCTTACATCATCAGAATTCCTTTTAAATTAGACTCAGAAAATTCTTTCCACTCATATAAGTTTAGTCTGCAGGGCTTACAAGTGAGCACTGTTACTAAGAGCTAGGTGTTAAAGAAAAATCAAACCTAAAAAGCAAGAAATCTCATAAACCTTGCCCCACTAGTGAAGCTCAGTGCAGCTGGAGGTCCGCGCTAACTTCCGTGAGCTTCCCTCCCACGCTCGTGTACCTGGGGCTCTAGTACTTCCGTTTGTTTGTGAGCCTGGTGCGGAGCCATGGGATTCCGTCTTTGCTACATTTCACATTTTGATGGTTCACTTAACAGTGAACAACTGACATGTTAGAATGGGACCTTCCTCAGGCGAGAAGACAGAACTGTATAGAAGAATCATTAGAGATCTTTGAACGGCTACCATTCAAGTAGCCACCTCCTCTTTAAGACATGAAACTGCTCCCAACTTCTTTCAGAATCAGCAAAATCTCTCCTGAACAGCCTGACTTAACGTCATCAAGATGTTCTGAGACCATAAGCTCTGTTTCAATTTGAAGTAAACTCCTTAACAGTAGTCTTTGAAGTCACTTTAAGGAAAGTTTTTGTAATAATTTTCTGGTTAAATATTTAGATATTGAATTGCATTGAAAGGCTCCAACAGATCCTATCTTTTGGATGTAGAACACTTTGGGGGAGGAGCTTCAGAGAAAATAAGCTCTGGTGGGAGAAAAGAGCCCTGCTGAGCGCAAAGCAAAGGTTGTCTGATAAGGGCAGGTTTTGAGAAGGCAAAGCCAAGGTACTCCTGAAGCCTGCACGGTGAACCGGCTCTTCCTCGCAGCTGTCCTCTTGCTGCAAGGCTTGTTAGTCTTCAAACAAACAAAACTCCTCCACCGACCTGTGTCCAGATCCCGATCCCTCTCACCTTTCCTTGTCACCCTCCCAGTCCCTGGAAGCAGCTCCCCCAGCTCCGCACCCTCGCCCTTCACTCCCTCCCTGACCCTTTGCAATCTGTCTTCGGCCGCACCCCGTTCAAGACTCCACAATGTAACCCATGTCCGTATGACGGCCAAATACAACAAACAGTTCTCAGGCTTTACTGGATGGCCACTGTGGACCACTCCATCGCTCCTGGACCCTCGCCCCTTGCTTTGGCAATGCTGCATCTCCTGGGTTTCTTCCTCCCAGTCGGAGCAACCGTTTTCAGTCATCCTTAACGTTTGCTCTTTTTGGCTTCCACTCTGGATGCGCGTGTCCACCCTTTGCTCTCTCCTTTGTTATTCCTCAGATTATCCCTGGACAATCTCAGGGCTCCCAGACCAGCTCTAGTTCTGGCATCATCCGTGTATTTACCTTAACCTTCCCACAGAGCTACACCGGCCAGACTTCTTTGTGAAGCACTCCATCTGTAAGTCTGTCTAGCCACTGGGCATCCCTAGCTAAAGGTGACTGCAATGTGATGTGCCCAGACGTGGACTATCATGTGACTTCCCAGCCATGCACACCACTCATCTTCTCTGTCGATGGTACACCATCCACCCGGTTATCCAAGCTAGAACTCGCAGTCCCTATTACTTTTCTTTTTCCCACTGTTCCTATATTCATTCTATGGCTCATCAGACCCCTAGATCCTGTCTCCCAAATTATGTCTCAAACATCTCTCCTTCCTATTCCCACTACTACTGACTCACTCAAACCCTCAACTTTTTTCACTGAAACCAATGCTACAGTCTTCATTTGCTCTCACTACTTCAAATCTTCCCCACATCAATCTAGCCCACAGTTTAGCCATTAAAACGATCTTGGAATTTTGATTTTTTTAAAGTACAAAGTGACTTCTAGAAAAAGGGTAGACTGAGTTCATGTCAATTTGCCCTTGTTTCACACAAGGAGAGTTGGACATAAAAGGCACAGAAGTCATAATGGAAAGCCAGCCATCACAAAACAAACACAGGTCAACTTGGAGAAATGAAATGCTGGAAATGAAAAAATACAATCATTGAAGTTTAAATTTCAGTGGCTAAGTTAAGCATCTATAGTAATAGTGAAAAGAGAATCACTAGATGAAAAATGAAGACTTTCCCAGAATGGATCAGAGAGAGAAGAAGCAATCAATACTATAAAAGAGAAGTTAAGAGTCATGGACAAGACAAAAATACAGCCAGACAGGCATCTGGCAGAATTCCCAGGAGAAAGCAGAGAGAATAGGGAGAATGTCTGAAGTGGTAATGACTGTGCAGTTTCTAAACTGAAGCAGCATGGTGAACCCCAAGAATGGAGAGGGAATAAATTCACACCAAGGCACACAGTAGCGAAACTGAGAAATACCAAAGACCAAGAAAATCTTCAAAGCACCAGAGAGAAAATCAGAATGCCTAAAAAAGAAAGTAATTAGATGATAATGTATTTTAATGGCAAAAACGGGCCATCAGAGACAATAAAATATTCTTTAAATGGTGAAGGGTAACTCATGATGTGGAATTCTATTTTTAGCTAAACAATTATTCAAGTGTGAAGAAAACAATCATTCTAAAAGAGGGTATCTAAAAGAGAAGTGAGCAGGAGCTCACCTTCCCACAAAATCGCTGAAGACAAATG